TACTGGCGTGTGGTTAACGTAGATTTGACCTTCTGTTATCTTTTTCTTGGTAGTTATCGCGTGTTTTGTCTTCTTTACGTTTATATCGAGCCCATATTGTTGACTGTGGTGCGTGATTTTGTTAATAAGACCTTATAGTCTCTAGGTTGACTGCAATTACTATGGTGCTATCTGGTTATTTAATATTGTCTAACCTGTACCCCTTTAGTAGAATGTCTCTTTCAATTTCGTACAAATCTTCGCTAAATATTCGTTCCGTGTAGGTATTGACCACAAAACAAATATTGACAGTATTGACAAACACATAACCAAACATGTGAGATCCAAAGACGAATTACTTTAACATGGGCAGCCTTTGGAAAACTGCGAGACACACTTAGGGCCAACATACCAATCAGCCTCAAAAGAAAAGTGTTGACCTATGGGGCGGAAACTATGACTTTAACCAAGACCACGGCTTCGAAACTGAGAGTGGCACAGAGACGAATGGAACGGTCTATGCTGGGAGTGACGTTGAGGGACCGAATAAGAAACGAAGATCTGCGAAGAAGGACGAGTATTACTGATGTTGTGGAACGCATAGCGGAACTAAAATGGAACTGGGCAGGCCATGTAGCGAGAATGCACGATTCACGATGGACGTGCAAAATTACAAATTGGAGGCCAAGAGCAGACAAACGCAGTAGAGGAAGACCACCTACACGTTGGGCCGACGACATCAGGCGTATCACTAAAAATTGGCAACAAAGAGCACAAAATCGTGAGGAATGGAGGAGTTTAAGGGAGGCCCATGTCCAGCAGTGGACGTGATAAATAGAGGCTGGATGATGATGATGTAGGTATTGAAGATTAGAGGGGATGAAATACAGCCTTGTCGCACTCCATATATGATTTTATGTATTCGGTGTGTTCACCTTCAATTCTAAGATTTACGGTTTCCAATTATTCTCAAATCTTTGTTGTGAATTCCTGCTTGTTTTAATTTTTACACCATCTTGGTGTGCCGTACTGTATCAAAGGCTTTCTTATAATCAACCAGACATGCGCGTACGTCTCAATTGACGTCTCTTCACCTTTGGAATATGACTTGTACTGAAAAACGAGTTTTTCTCTCGTACTAACAGCATTTATGAACCCGAACTGGTTGGATGGAATTTGACTCCCACACAGCTTGTAAATGTTCTTATGGATGATCTTAAGGAATAGTTTTAGATGCCTCATGAGACTTATCGTACGATGGCATTTATTCTTCGCATATTTTGGCCCTAGTTTTTCAGAAGTTCAACAAGCTCAGAATTCAGCCATTCTGTTGGTACTTCTTCAGATTTGTAAATGTCATTGAGTATCTTTGTGATTATTGCCATTGTGGGCTGTGCATTAGTTTGAGTAGTTCTGCTTGTATATTTTTCTTGATTTATTTATTTGCCTTCATTGTACTCACATATAAAACAAACCTTGAAAATTATCGACCCATAATCTCGTTATCATATGTAGAAAAAATACGAGTATTATTACTAAATTGTTGACATTTGGGTCATTTCATGTAAACTTCGATACCTTGCAACCCAAAATAGACATACGTCTTACTAAGAATTAACATGGCAAACATTTTTCATTCTCTCCCTTCCTCTAAATGTTCTGTTATTTCTATATTTTTCTTTACTATATTTCCTTCTAGCGTTAGTCCTAAAATGGATATCGTTTTCCTCGTAAGTGTGCACTTTTCTTTGTTTTTAAGTATTCCAAAACTTTTCTATCTTTTAGTCAATCTCTATGTAGTACTTTTTATTTCTGACTTTCTGCCTTATGATATTCTAAATATTCAGCGCAAATATCACATTTCAAAAGCTTTAAGTTCGTTCATGCATATGATCTTTACCTCCAATGCTTAAATGCTAACAATTATCACTCTAAGTATGATTTATATAAAATTGGGGAAATTATACATCCTTGCCTCACTTTTTATTTCATTCCGTTTAGTTGTGGTTGTGAAGATGCTTTTGCTGTCTGGTTCCAATTCGAATTGACGATGATTCTTGTATTCTTAGCATATAATCCTAATTCTTGAAGGTATTTTATCATTAGTTTATCGTACCACTCTATTGTACCAAGGCAACTTTTTTTATTAACCCCACTTTTACTACAATCTATCTCTACAATCTCACCTTAAATATTTAGGTAGATAATAGACAATACTAAGCAATATGACTGATAAAAGTAGAGCGAAATCAATCTTTTGAAATTTAACCCATGTCCTAGATATTTATTTAAGTTTAATCTGAGCCTGGGCACTTTCACGCTTTTGCACAACTTGAGCATTCTTGGTCCTCTCAACAGGTCTTCCAATATTGGAACCTATATTTCTCATTCTATTAAATTCTCCCATATCTTAACACTTTGGCTACTGTGTATACCATTTCTGCTACACAGTTGATGTTTACCAGAAACTGCGTGTACCAAATTTGGTCACATGAAATGGTAATGTTTCAAGCTGTGTGTACATTTGGTGAACACAGTTCTGATGGTTTTAAATGCGTATCTAGGTTCTTACAGTTTACTGCTAAATTCTGGCGAAGCAGTTTGGGACTTAATCAACAGATGGCTGTACTATGACCGATTTTTTAAAATTATGGCGGAGCAGTTTGAGACTCCTTCAGCAGATGGCATATTATGGCCATTTTCTGACTTGCAGAAACTTGTTGTTTGTGCAATATTAGTCTTGTGTGTTTACGGTTCTAAAATTAGTACTTAAAATGTCAAATAAAAAATTAAGTGATGCTGAACTACGTGAAATAGCCGAGAATATGAGTGAAATGGAGTATGAGTTTATTAGTGAAGATGATGATGATGATGCTATGGATATAGATGATCCAAATGATCAAGATTCGTGTTCTTCTTCCTCTAATTTAGAAATTAACAGTGATGGGCAAGAGTTAGAATTCGAATCTGATCTAGAATCTCTCAACAACGATTCTGAACCTGTTAATTTTTTAAATAATCCTAATCCTAATGTCATTTGGAATAATTGTGCAGGTAATATATAAATTAGTATTCACTTTTATAGTTTTGAGTTTATAATTTTGTAGGTAATTTGAACACATTTACTTTCACGGAAGATTCAGGATTCTCCCAAAGTTTTTTTGCACAAAGAGAAGGAGATCATCCAATTCATTTTTATAAATTATTTACTGACAACGATATCTTATCAGTTATTGCCGAGGAAACCAACAGATATGCTGAACAGAAAATGGTATCAGGAATTACAAATGAAACATTAACAAAAACAGCATTATTGGGACAATGGAGAAACACAAATCAATCCGAAATTTTTGTTTTCTTAGGTCTTCTAATATGGATGAGTTTGGATCGTAAACCCACTTTGAAAGATTATTTTAGCACCAATATGCTGTACAAAAATGAAATTGGAAAATTTGTTCACATGTCCAGGATAGGTTTGAGCTTCTTTTGTTCAATTTGCACTTCTCAAACAACGAAATTGCCTCAGATGATAGGCTCAAAATATTCCTTCCCTTGCAAAATTTGTTAATCAAGAAGTTCCAATCAGCATATACTCCTGACAAGAATGTGTGTATAGATGAGACGATGATTACTTTTCGAGGACGACTGAGCTTTCGCCAATATATACCGGGGAAGCGTCACAAATACGGTGTGAAATTATTTAAACTATGTGGAGTGAAAGGTTACACATATAATTTTAAAATTTATACAGGAAAAGAGCAAACACCTAATGAAAAGCCAATTGGTACAAAAGTGGTGCTACAGCTTATGGAACCACTTTTACATTCAGGTCGCGTTTTGTGCACAGATAATTATTACACTAGCGTGAATTTAGCACACGAACTTCTGAACAAAGATACACATTTAATAGGCACACTGAGAAAACACAGGAAGCATAATCCAAAAGTAGTAAGTGAGGCTAAATTAAAAAGGGGTGAATTAGTCATGAGACAGAGTAACAGTAAAATCATAATTGGAAAATGGAAAGACAAAAGAGATGTCATGTTTCTCACTACGGAGTCTGTGCCTGAAATAGTGGACGTGCCAACAAAAAGGGGTGTCGTGAGAAAGCCTTCCACAATCGTGCAGTATAATAATGTGAAATCATTTATAGACGTCCCTGATCAAAAAGCATCATATTCATCAGCAGTGCGTAGGGGTATTAAGTGGTATAGGAAAGTTTCAATTGAACTTTTGGTTAACACATCTATTATAAATGCACATACTGCATACGAGGCTATAACAAACAAAAAGATAAGTATCACTAAATTTAGAGAAGAAATCGCCTCAGAAATTTTTCGTAGTCAAAATATTCAGATGAAAAATTTGGATGATCGTCGTGTTAACCAAGAGAGAAATCACAAACTTTCCGAAGTGGAACAGAGAGGTCGTTGTACAAGATGTTATAAAAATAATAGTGCTAGAAATGGACGTAACTTTGCTATAAAAGAAACAAAACGTATTAAAACAGCTTGTTTAGCATGCAGTGATAAGTTTTTGTGTACCAACTGCTTTTTTGACACTCATTACTGTCAAGCAAAAAAATGAACATTGTGTCCAAAAATGGTACACATAGTTTCTAAGAAGATAATTACGCATTTATTTCTGCCACAAACTGTGTGTACCATTTTTTGACACGGCCCTTACATATGATTTTTTTTTCAAAAAAATACCTAAATGTTGATATTTACATGTTTTTAGTATTAAACATTGTAAATTTTACCAAAATATAGTTTCAGTTTCTGACAAAAAACTTCAAATTTTTAGCCAGTAGCCAAAGTGTTAAACTAATGAACAAATTGTTTTATCTTTTCAAGACTTTTCTTTTACGAACCCTCATAATAAGTCCGATTCTGTTCTCGAACAGCTGATATTCCTTCCACCTTTCACCAGCAACAAACAGATGGCGACACCACGTCTACGGCGGCAATTCAAACCACAATAATTATCCTATCGCTGCACCATTTCGAAATTCTCCTACCACCTTTTATTACGGAATTTCCTCTCTTATTTTGACCCGACGAGTGACAAGTCTAGCAACGTGATTTAGTGGTAACCAATGTGAGGTGAGTGTGACATTGCTCTTTGTTACACTGAAGAAGTTTTGTTGTGGCTGTATTGTATTGTTTAGTGTGTCAGTTGAGTTCATTGTTATCATCTACATAGTTGACGGATGCACCATAATCGATTGTAAATATGATTATATTCCTTCATTTATCTTAACGAAAGTGTGACATTAGATAAAACATCGAAATGTGAATATTTGCTTTATGTATTTAAAGAAAAACGTAAGAAGAAATATCTACATGTTTTTATAAGAACTTTGTATTTTTATTAAGGTTAATTAAAGGTTTTTTTTGAATAATGTCAATATAAATGGTTAATGCCATTGAAAAATTTGCTTTTACAAAATTTAAAATATGTTGGCAGAATTTCTTTTTAATTGCTTTATAAATTCTTAATTGACATTTAAATACTTGGAAGATTTTTCCTTTTCTTTTGTTATATAGACTACTTCCTGTCCGGATAATAATACAATCTAGGTCCACACATTATTGGCTTGTTTATTACTTGCATCTTTAGTTAAATATTGGTTCCGACTAGACTGTCTGATATCAGAAGCAAATACTTTTTTGTTTTTGTCAGAAAATATCGCTCTGAAGTTATCTGTAGAGGGAAAAACATGTAGCAAGCATACAAGAAAATTACATCGTAAATATACACAGTAAAATACTTTGAAGGTTACCAAGACAAAATACCTAAAGGACACCACAGTTCAGTAGGTTTATAATTGCGTTTGCAATCCGCTATTTTTCATCTAAATATTACTTAAATATCGGTTGTCTTCTGCTTCATTAAAGATATTACGCTTTAGCTGTCCTATTTTTTCAAGGGCACTCTTCGCTTCCTCTTCATCTCGGTTTGCAATTTAGTACTTGTTTTGTTAATGGAAAAGAAATTAAAAGAAACACAACAAAATAAAGAAAACTGCTAAATCTCGGACATCAATGCATGCAGAAAATATACGGCATCTGGTGACCCATATTTCAAAGCAAAATAAAGGCCAGTAGGAGTTTGGGAACAGGACGAATATCTTTGTTAAAACATCCAAGAGAGTCATGGTTTCAGCCCAAAACAACTTTTTTTAGAGCAAATGCTTTGAAAGTTGTAGTGGCCATGATAATTGCAAATCTCCGTAACGGCGATGGCAGTGGAATAAGAAGGTTTAGGTTTAATTTTTCTCATTTTCACCATGTCGTCTTCTTTTCATTTTTTATTTGATCTTGTTATTTCTTTTGATCTTTATCTAATTCTCTGATCTTTTAAATTGATCGTCCAATTTGTCATGATGTCACTTTTAAACCATAGATGGTGGAATGGGACAATCGGCAAAATGCCTGTCATGTGGAAGCTTTGCATAAAATAATAATTTAATCTTTATTCCAATTTTGGCTCTTAAATCCCCATATTATTTTAGATTCTTTGATGTATCTATACCTTGTATTCGTAAAAAGTATTTATTTCATCATCAGTTGCTTTTTCAGTTGGAGCGTAAAGCTGCACAATCTTTATTCTGGTTTGTTGCGACCCTGTCCGAGGCGCTATGAATTGTTTGAATTTTTGATTTTCCCTTCTTGATAAGCAAGCTTTTTTCTGTGTCTTTCATTTTGCTTTCACCTCTGTACAAAACCACAGACTTTTTCGCTTTGGGAGAGACTTCCTTTTATTTATATTTCTTTCGCCTAAAGGTTCTTTAGTTGAGTCTAAGATGTTTGCTTCATCGCTTTGGATGATATATGTGTTTCTGCCTTTTTCTGCTATTTTTTTGGTATAAATACCTTGTTGTGTCGTCCGGCAGTCTTTCATCTTGTATCTTGGTGGTACATTCTGAAATTTTATATATACTGATCTCTTACATACTTTCATCTCTTGTCCGATCAATCAAAGACAACATTCTAAATGAACAATACGGAGTTTATGAAATTCCTTGTTCAGACTGTCCCCGATCATATATAGGCCAAACAAATCGTACAATCCAAAATAGGATTTATGAACATTCCATTTCACAATTCCGACTCAATTTCAGCTCTAGGTCAACACCATCTTCGTATGTAGCCCCATCCGCTTCTATAAACCAAGAATTATCCAAGAAGCCATAGAAATTGTAAAAAGACCAAATTGTCTCAATAAATGAGATGACGGCATACGATTACCTTCGATTTGAAGACCTCTCATAAAAAAATACCATCCGCTCAACCCGTCAATCAAAATCCGACTATCAGAAATGTTCGCGGCAACCCCCGCGCCAATCCCCGCGCTGGCCCTCACGCCAACCTCCACCCAATCTGCCGATGTTAGTGCCCTTACATCCAAAATGTGGGACGAAAGTAGCTCTTTGCTTAAAAGAATATGGTCGATCAAGGATCACTGTCCTCTGGTATTTTTCAAAGGTGTACTAGTGTTGTTCTTTGTGAGGGAAAAAAGTATTATAACAGCGTATTCAAAATGTATATTTTGATATAAACAGGTTGGGAAAATAATTGTTTTGATATGTTAACCCATCGGTTCTTTCACAGCAATGATAACCTTAGTTGTGTTATTCCGTTTGAATTTTAAAATACACTTTTGTTTTAGTCAAGTTATCAATATTTTTACCGGACACTGATTTTGTTTGTTGAAGTTGTCGATATATCTTCTTATCTTATTAGTGAGGACAATGAAATTACTTCCTATACTGGTTATAAAAAAGACGTAAATAGTGCTTTGGAACAGCAATTGATTGCTCAACTGTTAAGTTTTATATTTGGTCATCGAGGTTGTGGTATTGTCTTCCGGTTTGAAAATAAATTTGTTCTACACACGTGATTCTCGTTTTTTTTAGATTAGTTCGTATAATTTACTAAATTTGAAAACTGTGTATATGTGAGTCGAGAACATCTAGGTTATAGGATAACGATTCAAAATTAGTTTAAAAGACGTTTATTGTACGACTAGTTTCGAAATCATAAATTTTTACTTCATCTTCAGGCCGATATAATAACCCACGAATAACAGTACTTACTAGATTTTGTTTTTACCTGATGTATTATGTCACTTGTTCAATAGAAGAACATTCCAAAATATGACCAGTATTCTATAACTTAGTTACTGAATTTTTCCACCAACAGATCTTATATTTTTTTGCCTTACATTGGCGGAACTCAATTTTTTCTTCTTTCGGAACTTCTTTCTCTATCCACGCATGATGTAAAAACTTATTCATGATAATGAACCATTTATTTTGCCATCTTTCTTTGATTTTTATTTAATGTTCTTATTCCAAGATTTCCCATTTATTTTCAGTAATCTTAGGAAACGAGTGCTTCTTCTTTTTGTGGTTCCTTCTCCTATCGGAGATTGCTTATCAACATAGCTATTCGTACTCTATTCAGCTGCTCTGAAGGTAAAATAGCGTTACCTGAGCGTTTTCTGGTCACGAAAACTTCCTTTGGTCAACGTATCTCTTACCTTTGATCTTTCCTTGCATGACTATAATCTTAGTATTTCTTACTTCTCACTCCCTATTCCATATTCCTTATTGACACCGGGCTTAGACAAGGATATCCTCTCGCCCCCCTGCTATTTAATTTTGCACTGGAACATGCGGTAAGGAAAGCTCAACCACAACGGACAAACGGATTTGCCGCCCAAGGATCAAAAATACTATTGGCGTTTGCGGATGACGTGGATACAATTGCACAATACACCAGAGATGCAAAATAAGTTTTCACCCTATTGGAAAACCGAGCCAAGGAAGTTGGTCCGAAGGTCAACGAGGACAAGACCAAGTACATGGTGGTTACGAAGAACCCAAGACCAACGGTTAGACAAAATGTAACAATCAATGAAAGAATTCAAATACCTGAGAGTGATCATAACATCTGAAGGAAACAGGCCATTTTACTCATTAATGACCGTATTTAAATCAAAAATACTCTCAATATCAGCAAAAAAAAGAGTGTATAAGACAATAATTCGTCCCAAAATAAGGTATGGAAGCGAGACATGGACTCTGAACCAGCAGGAAACGACAAAATTACTGGTACTGGAAAGAAAGATACTGCGGACTATCTATGGGCCTTGCAGAGAAGAGACAACAGGAGAATGGAGAAGAAGATACAATGATGAACTCCAGACAGTATATGGAGATGAAAATATAGTACGCTACAATAAAGCAAACCGAATAAGATGGTCGGGCCACGTACTTCAAAGACTCCTGAACGCCACATTCTGGGAAAGGCTCGATGACAGAAGGTCAGTTGGTCGCCCAAGAAAGAGATGGAAGGACGCAGTAGCCAGTGATCTACGCAAAATGGGAATACAGCAATGAGAAATAGCTGCTCAGGACCGACAACAATGGAGGGAAATATGATTCCTACTTATATGATTAAAAAATAGATCTTAGGACATCTTTTATTATAAATCGTAGTCAAATTTGACTTATCATAACTCCGGAACTAATGAACCGATCATATTATTTTTTCTTTTTTTTTGAAGCCTCTTTCAAAGCACTGTTAATATCAGTTGTGAAAATTAAAATCGATCAACAATTAATTAAGTTATTCAAATTGTTTATACGCCTAAAATTTGAACATTTTTTTTAAATCCCTAAGCTTTTCTGATCGACGGATTTTAATTTTTCAATATAAGTTTAACATCTTAAATACTCTTTTGTATGTGTAAAATTTTTTTTTCAAGTATCTAAAGGTTTTTGTTTTTAAACTGCATACTTTGAAAAAAAAAAGAATTTAAAAAAAATTATGTTGGAAAAGTATTTTGCAAAAACTATTAAATCGATTTTACTTAATGAAATTTTGTGTAATGTTTAAACATATTAAAGAGTTTTCTTCCTCCGAATATGAAAGTCCTAAGTTTGGTTTTATTCTGGAAAATAAACTGTTTTTTTGTTTTATATTTTTTCAATAATAATAATTTTTAGGATTTAGAGCCAGCATTTCCTATATAAAATTTAATTACAAAACTCAATCACATATACAATATTATACTAAAACTAATAATTCCTGATATATATACGAAAAAAAAAAGAGGAAAAATATCGAATTTGTTTCCTATTTTGTTTAATAAAAAGTTAAGTCAACATTTTAAAACTCACGCATAGTTCCGACAAATTTCCGCGGTCAGGTAAATGA